TGGTGAAGTCTTAGCCACTCGATCAAAACCAATTAACTTGACATCTCATAAGCCACCCTCTATATTTTATTGGGTAAAAATAAAAAAGGAAAACTCTCATTTCATAACACAACCCAAAGCAAAAACAGAGACGATTCAAAAAGGTTAAATGCTAAATTTGGTCCCTCAACTTTAGTGAGTTGCATATTTTTGATCCCTTAATAATTTTTTGCCCTTTTTTTATCCTTAAACTTTAAGAAATGCACTCCGTTAGTTCTTCTGTTAATTTCGATCGTTAACTCGTTTATGTGGCATTTTTTATAATTTTTTTGATGACGTGGTAAAAATAAATTGAAAACGTGTTGATATGGATTTTTTTTTATGCCAACTCACATGATTACTATTTATATTTTAAAAAAATAAAATAAAAAAATTCCGTTCACTTCTTCCTTTCTCTTTTTCTTTCTTTTTCTTCCTCTTCTTCCTTGGATCATTGAACCCAGTTGCTGGGTTCTAGCGAACCCAGTTGCTGGGTTCTAGCGAACCCAGTTGCTGGGTTCGACGGAACGCAGTAAATGGGTTCCATCGAACCTAGATCTGCTGGGTTCGGTGGAACCTAGCAACTGGGTTCCGTCAAACCCAGATCTACTGGGTTCGACGGAACCCAGAACCACGGAACGCAGCAAATGGGTTCCATCGAACCTAGATCTGCTGGGTTCTGTCGAACATGGAAGGAAGAAAAACAGTAATCGATGGGCAAAGACAGTGATGTGGGACCCATTTGGATGTATTTGGCACGATTTTGCCAGGTAGCATGTGACATGGCAAAAGTTTTATGCATATCATCACTTTTTTAAGTTTTGCTCTCCACATCATCAAAAAAAATATAAAAAATGCCACCTAAGCAGGGTTAACAGCCCAAATTAACAGAAGGACTAATGGAGTGCATTTCGTATAGTTGAGGGATCAAAAAAGTTACAAAAAATTGTTGAGGGATAAAAAATGTACATTTCATAAAGTTGAGGGACCAAATTAAGCATTTAACCATTCAAAAATCATAGGATCAACAATGAAGATTGATGACATAATAATAAGGGTGTTCGCAGTGTAAGTTGGTTCGAATTTTATTATTTTTTAAATTAATTCAATTTAATTGGTTAATAAAATTTTTAAATCAATCAAATTTATTATTATGTGATAACCAAATTAATTTAATTTAAATTGGATTGGTGTGATTCAGTCAAATTGATTGATTTTTAACATTGTTAAATATATAAGATAATGTAAAAATATTTTAATATCAAATAGAAAATATAACTATAAAAGATATTAACATCCAAATTAGTAAAAACATAATAATAGGTAAAAATTATAAACAAATTCTTATACTCCTTTACATTTATAAAAATTGAAAAACTCTAAAAATTCTTCTTGGTTACATTACTAGAGGCACCAAAAATAATAAAAAATAATTTCAAATTTTTAGCATAACGTAAATAATTCTTGAAAATTAAAATTAGTTTCTTTTTCCTAATGCGCTAATAATTTAACCCTATTTTCTAAATCCTATTAAAAGTGAATAACATTTAACATGAATATTATTAAAATTGATTAGAAGCATTCATAATTAAAATTTAAAACTTCTAAACCAAATATCCAAAAATAGTAGAATATTAAAACTAATTTTATTATATAGTTTTAAGGTTTTTGGAATGATACTTATTTAAAATTTAGTTAGGAGAATCATAAGATTATTTTAAAAATAAATTAGAAATTTAGGATTCTAAGAATAAAGGTGCAAACCAGTTCTGAGATGATAAAGTTGCAGGTAAATTAGAAATTTAGAATTAAGGTTAGAGTGCATGATTAAAATGGAAAAATAACTTAGAGAATATGGAGATGTTTTATTTTTATTTTTTTAATTAAGTTAATGGAGTTATAATCTTCTAAAATAAGAAAAAGAAAATTTAAAATACTACAAAAAATATGTTATATTATTTAATTAAATTATCTTCTAATCGAATTTATTTTGTAATCGAGTAATTCAGACGGTTTGAAAATAAAATCACGAACCAAACCAATTATATCGGTTTTAAAATTTTAGAATTCAAACTAATCCAATTTTATATCGATTTAGATCAGTTTTTGATTGAATTGAATCAGTTTAGATCAGATCAATCAGATTAGATATGATATAAACACCCTCACACAGTAGTTACCTTTATGCAAAGAACGAAATTCATAAAATACAAATGTATTTTTTGGTTTAAATTATTTTAAATTATAAAATATTAACCACACCTTGACTTCACAACCCTTAATTATAAATTTCGTCATGAAATACACTCATAACTTAAGAGCTAGGTTTGAATTCTCCCCTCAAGATATAAATCCGTTTTCAAAAAAATATTAACCGTTTAATAGAAATAGTTCTTTAATATTAAGATTCTTTTTTTTTTTTTTTGGTTACATCAGAGTAAGGTAATTAAACTAAGAGAAAACTAAAAACGAAGGAAGCATGTCCCTAGTTGATCCCCGGTGAGGATGGACCTTAAGCCACTCGATGGAAAGCTCCAAATTCTTAAACCTGGTGGCAACGAGTGTCCCAAGGAAGCCAAGAAGTCTGCTGCAGCATTCCCCTCTTGCAAAGTATGTTGCAGAAGGCAGGCTTCAAATTCCAGCATCAAACTCTGAATTTCTACAAGAATTGCTGCAGACAAATTGTCGGGCATCCGATGCTCTTGAATAGAACGAATAGCCATTAATGAATCCATTTCTGCAACAATTTTAGATAATCCAAGAGATTTACATAACCGAAGTCCTTCTCTAAGACCCCAAAGTTCAGCAATAAAAATAGAAGCATCCCCCACATTAACTGTGAAACTAGAAATCCAACAACCTGTGCTGTCTCTAATCAAACCTCCTGCTCCAGCCGATTTATCACCAGCATTATAAGACCCATCAGAGTTTAGTTTGCACCATCCCTCTTCTGGTGGAATCCAACTTACCCATCGTGGCTGCCTTGAACGGGGTGACAATATAGGATTCATGGCCATCATAGTGTACTGTGCTTGCTGGAAAATCCTAGCACATAACTCCTGGGGTCTTGATTTATGAGATCTAAAAATGAGAGCATTTCTGTCTTTCCAGAGAATCCAAATGGCAGACAAAAACACCATCGTCTGTGACACTCCAGCATGCCTATTCCGCCGTGATGGATTAGAAAATTTCTTAATCCACGAAACCAACTCTAGAGCAAAGAACTCAGATGTAGCAAACCCCAAAAGTCCCCAGACAATCTTAGCATAATAACAATCACGTAACAAGTGAATAGGCGTTTCCTCAAAAACATCGCACCTGGGGCAAACACCAGAGGTAGACATATGACGGTCAAAACGTAGAGAGTTAGTGAGAACCCTCCCTCTCACCAAAAGCCATATGAACATTCGAATTCGCTCTGCACAACATAGCTTCCATACCCAACTCCATGAGTCTAGAGAAGAATTATCTAGTTTCTTTTGCTCCTGTATAAGTTGATATGCGGACCTGACAGTAAAAGAGCCATCCATTGAACCTGCCCAAAAGATACTATCTGTCAGCTGTAGGTTCTTGGATAAAGGTATTGCCCTGATAATCTCAACTATCTCTACTGGAACCAAGGTATGCAAAAAATCTAAATCCCATTCACCATCAGAATTGATGACATCTACTAGCAACAAAGAGGAATCAATCGGTCCTTCGCCAGAAACATTAATAAGCGGAGCATTACCAACCTAGTTATCATGCCAAAAGTTAATCCCCTCACTAGTTCCAACTCTCCAACGGACTCCTTGCTGCAAAAGTGGACAGCATTGTAAGATCCCACGCCAAATGAAAGAACATCGTGGATTAGCCTTGGCATTCAAAAGACTAAGTCCCCGAAGATACTTAGTCTGGATAGCTTTACACCACAAGGCCTTATCTCCCTTAAGTAAACACCAGCCAAGCTTTGCAACAAAAGCTTGATTATTTTCCCATGCAGATCTCAACCCAAGTCCGCCTTGCTTTTTCTCTGAACAAACAACTTCCCAATTAACTAAATGTGGTTTACGGGCCTCAGAATTTGAGCCCCATAAAAAATCTCTATTCAAACGATCGATTGAGTCACAAGTGGTCTTCGGGAGCAAGGTAGTTTGCATAGTGTAGGTCGGTATAGAGGCTGTCACAGATTGAACTAAAATCTTCCTTCCTACCAAGCTCAAGTTGGCACTTTTCCAGTTCGAAAGCCTTCGCTGCACCTTTTCCAAGATGTATCCATAGTTTTTATGAGAATGTCTCATATGGGTGATTGGAATACCCAAATAAGTACCCAAGTTGGAAGTCAATGGAATGTCACACCGAGCACTTAAAGAGTTGGCCACGGCCGAGTGTACATTAGGAGAGAAAAATAGTTTAGACTTTTGCAAATTTAAAACCAAACCTGAACTCTTGGCAAACTGGTTCAAACAATCCATAATGATATCCAGTTGTGCTGTAGAAGCTTGAGCAAA